GAAAGAGTAAGCCTTGACATGAATTGAGCTCCGGTGTAGCTTCTGTTAGCGCTATTAGAAAATCAACAATTGCAGGATGCGCAGTCTTATGCTGCCTTTTCCTGATGACGCGGGTAAGGCTTGTGCAAACCCTGCAATTCTTGAAGTGCAGAAAAAGCACAGAATTAAGGATCTCGGCTTTCACTGTTCTTTAAAGGACAACCTTCTAGCTGTTGAAGCTTTGAAAAATTTCATCGACAAGCACAGAGACGTTATGCAAACCACACCGTGTCTACAAGCATCCACGGCGCAATATACAAAATCATGAAATTTTTTTAAAAATAAAGAATACCTATCTCAAAACTATCTGTGTCAATAAATATTGGTCCAAAATTCATAAAGGCATGTTGTTACAGAAGAGAGAAGGATTTAATACGTCTTTTTTGTTCCATGCATACTTCAAAACGTAGACTTTTCCATTTGTGCAATTTGCAGTCAGTTGGACATTTCATAGGATTCGGTGGAATTTAGTACGAGACTGGCAACTTCGTGGTATACTTGAGATGTGTGAGATTGTTACGGAATGTAAATTTCATATCTGTATGACCGTATAGAATTTTTGACTCATATTGATTGACACAGATAGTTTTGAGCAGTGTTCCCTCTAAGCTGAGTTAGTGTGAGCTAGCTCACAGCTTTTTTAGCCTCCGGATCACACGTTTTTGTCTCAGCTCAGGAAGGAGGGCCCCAGAGCAAACTAGTTTATATGCAGGAGCCAAATCGCTCGCTCACAGCTTTAATGCCAGTAGCTCACAAAGTAGAATTTCTGTTCAGAAGACTCCACAGCTTAGAGGGAGCATTGGTTTTAAGATATATATTCTTTATTTTATTTTTTTTCATGATTTTGTATATCGTAGCTTGTATGACTGTAGATGCGGTGTGGTTTCTGTAATTTCTCTAGCCGACACTGTAGTTTAATGTATTTTGTTTGAATTTATACAGACTGCAGAACTGCTGTGCTGGTTGCAGAATCCCAATGTACTGATTCAGGACACGGAGTCCTGCGGAGACCGCGCACGGGGCTTAGAATCACCTCACTGTTACTGTCCAGGCTCTCCTCCGATTCCCAGTCAGACTCCTCTGACCCGAAGTCCCGCAACAGCTGTGGGATCTTTTGGTCGGGCCGGTGCACGGCGCTGTACAAGGGCGTGTAGCCGACATACATGCGGGCCTCTGGGTCTGCTCCGGCCCGCAGCAGGTACTCCACCACCTCGGGGTTCTGCGACTCCACCGCCAGGTGAAGGGGACTCCGGCCACAGCTCAGCTCCTGCCGGCAACAGAAACGACAACTCAGATGCAGGAAGACACGTCACGGCTTCTCTTGAAGCCACTGAAATTCATAAACATAAACACAATTTACAAATAAACAGAGTTTACAAATAAATAGGGCATGGTTTCCTGTCCTGAAAAATACAAAAGGCTCTACATCTGACAACACCACTACAGACAAGATTAGAATTTCAACAGACAATCCACATGCAAAAGAACCTTCTCAGGAAACAGCCAATCCATATACAAAAGAACCTCCTCAAGAAAGCTCCTCCATTAACATGTTCACAGCCTGGGGAACGCCTACATAATAATGACTCAGCCCTACCCCACCTTCCTGAGTAGATATAAATTACCTGCCTACCATTTTTCTTCTCACCTTGACACAGAGAGTACTCCATCTTTCTGTGTTATACCTCTGAGGATGCCAGTCACAGCTACTGGCGAAACGTCAGGTCCTACAATGCCAAGACCACGGCCAGACAACCCGTAAAATCTACAACAGCTAATAAAGTCTCTGAAACTGGCTGAGCTACCACTAGAACTATTCCAAGACGGAACTATGAGGCCGTGCATTACGCAGGCAGGTATGGAATCCTAGAAGTACCTGTATCACACTGACTCGGTTTAGAGGGAACACTGATTAAGAGGTCTATTTAAATATTTCAAGTCAGCCGCCAAGACCTGGCCGCCCACCCGCAAACCAGCCTTCTGAACGTTTGATGTATAAAAACCAACAGGGATCTCGTCGCCTTCAAGAGAAAGCACGGCTTCATTCCTGCGGAAGCATGTTTTGTGGAGAAGGGACCACTCGGTCAGACTGTAGGTCTTCATTGGGGAGATGTTTATATCCGAAGTCGAGAGGAATTACAACAAAGGCACGGCAGGGTCAAAGGGCCGTGAGTCGCAGGAAGTGCTCACCCCATCCTTCCTGTGCTCTGTGGTCTCTTGACCTTGTTTACAACTTTCCCCCTTGCAACAGAGGATCCCTGCAACCATCTGACGGACGCTAACTCCATGAGAGTTTAGGGCAAGGGTCCCTCCCCAACGGGGGTGCCCGTGGGTGCCATTGTGCCTGCAGAAATCTTCTCTGGTGCTTTTGAGGAAGTGGGCAGTGCCGGGTAGAGCTCTTGCCCACCAAGGCTTCTGATTAACTACTGGAGACTCGATTGGCTGGTCAGATTTTTTAAAAACGTTGCTTCGGTGTCAGCTGCCACCACAGCATAGTATCGACACCGTGTTACTAAAGTTAAGCCGTGGCAATCATTTCGTGGCTGGCTCCGCCTCCCGAGGCAGCCATTTTGAGGCTGCGCCCACTGGGCCATGTCTGAATTCCAAAGGTGCCCGCGGGCCCAAAAAGACTGGGGACCCTGATTTAGGGGCTAGAATAAAAGCTTGTCAGGTGCTCAAGGTGCCAGAAGACCCCATTTTATTTCTGGTGCGACAAACTAACCGGTCTTCCCCCTCTGGAATTATTTCAACGTGTAGCAATTTGTTGGTGTTGACTGGTTGGATACCTCCCGGCAGGGCTTTTTTTTCCTCTGGGGGAACGCACCGGAATGGAGTTCCGGAACCTCGGCAACAAAATCCTTTTCTTAAAATGTTTAAAAGTTCATGAGTTTTCAGTATACGGATTGAAAACTTCATTTCCCTCTTGAGGGTCCCGGCGCCTCTTTTTCTAAAAAAGACCACACAGCCTCCTGGATCGTAAAGATGGAGCTAAAAGAGCTGGGGGCGAGGTGGGGGGGGAGAGAGTAAGCCTTGACATGAATTGAGCTCCCGTGTAGCTTCTGTTAGCGCTATTAGAAAATCAACAATTGCAGGATGCGCAGTCTTATGCTGCCTTTTCCTGATGACGCGGGTAAGGCTTGTGCAAACCCTGCAATTCTTGAAGTGCAGAAAAAGCACAGAATTAAGGATCTCGGCTTTCACTGTTCTTTAAAGGACAACCATCTAGCTGTTGAAGCTTTGAAAAATTTCATCGACAAGCACAGAGACATTATGCAAACGCGCATAATTTATGCAGACGTATCACAGAAACCACACCGCGTCTACAAGCATCCACGGCACGATATACAAAATCATGAAATTTTTTAAAAATAAAGAATACATATCTCAAAACTGTCTGTGTCAATAAATATTGGTCCAAAATTCATAAAGGCATGTTGTTACAGAAGAGAGAAGGATTTAATACATCTTTTTTGTTCCATGCATACTTCAAAACGTAGACTTTTCCATTTGTGCAATTTGCAGTCAGTTGGGACATTTCATAGGATTCGGTGGAATTTAGTACGAGATTGGCAACTTCGTGGTATACTTGAGATGTGTGAGATTGTTACGGAATGTAAATTTCATATCTGTATGACCGTATAGAATTTTTGACTCATATTGATTGACACAGATAGTTTTGAGCAGTGTTCCCTCTAAGCTGAGTTAGTGTGAGCTAGCTCACAGCTTTTTTAGCCTCCGGATCACACGTTTTTGTCTCAGCTCAGGAAGGAGGGCCCCAGAGCAAACTAGTTTATATGCAGGAGCCAAATCGCTCGCTCACAGCTTTAATGCCAGTAGCTCACGCTGCCTCCCAGGGATCCACGGGGGGTGGCGGAGGCTTGATTGGGGGAGTGGGGGGTGGGAGAGCCTCCCCCCATCTCTTTGCTCTCTTTCTTTCCCTTCTTTCCTTCCCCTTTTCTTTCTCTCTTCCCCATATATGCTGCAACCCTTTAAGAGCACAGAATCCAATAAGTTTCTAGCCCTCATGGTGGCACCCATATGCTCAAAATCATGAACAAAATGCCTGCAACAGAACTCAGAAGCCGGAGTAATGGCTGATTGACATTTCTACTGGTTTCCTATCAGGACCACAGAGCGTAGCATTCAGACAAGAATAAAAGAATGTGAAAGACACTGCAGACTTGGCCAACCTGAAAAATCAGCAGTGGCTGAACATAGCCTAACTCAAACAGAACACAGTATTTTTGTTCCAAGACACTGAAAGGCTGGACAACACATCCAATTACCATATCAGATTACACAGGGAAGCCATTGAAATTCTTAAACATAAACACAATTTCAACAGGAAAGAAGAGAGTTTACAAATAAAGAGGGCATGGTTTCCTGTCCTGAAAAACACAAAAGGCTCTACATCTGACAATAGCACTACAGATAAGATTAGAATCCACATGCAAAAGAACCTCCTCAGGAAACAATCCATATACAAAAGAACCTCCTCAGGAAAGCTCCTCCATTGGCATGTTCACAGCCTGGGGAACGCCTACATGATAATGATTCAGCCCAACCCCACCTTCCTGGGTAGATATAAATTACCTGCCTACCATTTTTCTTCTCACCTGGACACAGAGAGTCCTCCATCTTTCTGTGTTATACCTCTGAGGATGCCAGTCACAGCTGCTGGCAAAACGTCAGGCCCTACAATGCCAAGACCACGGCCATACAACCCTGGAAATCTACAACAGCTAACGAACTCTGGCTGTGAAAGTCTTCGACAACATATTCCTACTGGTTGATTGGGGGGGGGGGCAGCATCAGTAACCTTGCCCTTCCCCCCAAATAAAAGAAACTAGGTAACTTAAGGTAACTTAAAACTTAATCTGTACAGCAGATTATGGTACAGAAGTTACTGGTGCAGAGTGTACCAGTCCTGTTGATTTAAACGGTCTCATGCTGCGCAGTCCATCTTGAGTCACACTGAGAAAGGTGGATGGCATTGCATGGAAATAAAATACACAGGAAGCACCTTCTTGAGGGGAGGATGCCTGAACACCCCCACGAATGTCTACTATCGGCGAGAACATCACACAGAGTCCCTTTTGTTCCCCCTGAAACTAACCGGTTTGTTGAGATCAGCTCCCGCTGCAATTAAGAGACTGACCATGCCCAAATCTTTCCGCAAGACGGCAACGTGGAGGGGCGTGTAACCTACGGAAAGAAAGAGCGGGCGATTCTGTGAAGGCCGACCCTGGTGAAGTTCAGATTCCGCATCACGGCAATTCAGTAGGAAGGCATCGATGCAATTGACCTCACTCAGGTCACACAAGGTCTCTGTTTTTAATAGCTAAGGCCACTTTTTATTATATGTACACACCCATCTAGGCATGCACATAAAATGGTTTCTCTTATGTCCCTTGCACGTAGTGGCATTGATATTTTCTGTTATTGCCTTCATGAATATATGAAACGCATGAAACCACCCTACACAGAATCACACCACCGGTCCATCAAAGTCAGGATTGTCTACTCAGACTGGCAGTGGCTCTCCAGGGTCTCAGGCGGACGTCTTTCGCATCACCTCCTGCCTGATGGTTTTAACTGGAGATGGTGGGGATTGAACCTGGGGACCTGCGTGCGAAGCAGACGCTCTGCGACTGAGCCACAGCCCCTCCCCTATGAACGACAGGTTTGTTGAATGTCTTTCTCCCTGTACCCTTAGCCAGGTTGGGCAAGCCTGGGTTCCCCCCCTCCCCCGAGAAGGAAAGTATAAAAAATACATACAGGCCGTTGCCTCGTACCTATGAGAATTGCTCCCAGGTAGCTAAACTTGGCATGACAGGAAGATCTCCCCAAAAGACTCAATTCTGACTTAAATATTGGTGTGTTGTCCCGCCCCCACCCCACACACACACATACTGTGTTCCAGGAAACGATACCATCGTAATTGGTGCAATCCAGCTGGGCCCGGAAGCCATTCCCATGGCAGGGCCTTTGCGACACGGGTAGGGCCAGAAGGCCCTGCGCACATTCCCGCCGCCCTTCGCGACACGCCAAGTGCAGGGCCGTGTGCCCGCCCTTCTCCTGCACGCACAATCCTGCTCCTGCCGACACTAATTTGCCGACGAAATCCGAAGCGTCGAGGATCACCGCGATGTGCAGCGCCGTCTGGAGAGAAAGGAAAGCACGACCCTGAACTCGGGACTCTTGGGGAAAGGGGAGCAGGGCGCGGCGGTGTCACCACAAGGGGCTGTGGTCCGGGATTCCTGCATTCTGGATCTAGTGGGATGCAGCCCTCCTGAGATCCTTCCCCCACCCAGCTCTGTCCTAACAGGCCAGCTGCCCCGGCTCTGTGGTTTAAATGCGGGTCCCCAGGGAAAAACAGGGGCCCCACGGGGCAAAGCTGTTCTCATCTCAATCCCACCTGTCCAAGGTCGTTTTGAATATCCAGATAATCTGTCCCTTCAGTGTACTGCAGGATGGAGTCCAGAAAGGCCTCGTGCTCATGAATAATAGCCAGGTGGAGGGCTCTGGAGGCAACGGGGAAGAACAGATGCTATTTAAGACAAGGTACAACTCAGCCATCAGGCAAAACAGAGGTGGGACTAAGAAAGACGCACTGCTAGGGGCTGTAGCTTCCTTCAGCACTGAAGATGCCCCAGCAGCTGAACAGAGCGCTTTTTGAATACAGAACCTGTTTCACTGAAGAACATAAGAAGAGTGGGATTTATATCCCACCTGTCACTTGGAGTCTCGGAGCGGTTTACAATTTTCTTTCCCTTCCTTTCTCCACAACAGACACCCGGTGAGGTAGGTGGAGCTGAGAGAGCTCTGAGAGAACTGCACTTGAGAGAACAGCTCTGAGAGAACTGTGACTGACCCAAGGTCTCCCAGCTGGCTGCATGTGGAGGAGTGGGGAATCAAACCTGGTTCTCCAGATTAAGAGTCCGCCACTCTTAACCATTACACCAAACTGGTAGTCCTCCTACAAGTCAGATCTATGCTTGTTTACTCAGTTATAAGACCCAATTGGTTGAAAGGTGCTTAGTCCCATCTACAGGAGTATAGCTGGATACTCCTTCTCAGCCCATGTGGAACCAGGATGCATTTTTGTGTGGATTCAGGAAATTCTCTGACTGGATCATTTTCATTCATAAAGCATATACCTAGATGGACCCTTTTCAAGTATCAGGCTGGAATATTCTTCAGCTAATGACACCTGTAGTAGCTATCAGCACTGACAGCCACTACAGGCACACGCATGACCAGCCGCATGAAGAGCAAGCCACGTGAACTGACCGAGAGAGTACCCTGCACAGTTTGCCACACAAGTCCTTGCCCCGAGGTGCAAACGCCCCCCGTCCCACGCAAGCCCACGAGCGGCAAGCTGTGCGCCAACGCTCATTTAGAGAACATTTCTGGTCCACTTTCTTTCTGATGCCATTTCCAGTTTCAGTCATTATCCGAGAGCCTTCCTACGCCTCCTCCTCACGCCAAGGCCTCAGGCCCACTCCGGTACGTACGTGTCGCCATCCTCGGTCACGAAGCCCAGGACGTGGTGCAGCCACGCTTCAGGGGCCACCGCCGCCACCTCGCCCTCGATACGCACGGCCCCCACGCCTTCCACGATGCCCCCCATGTCCTCGTCGCCCCCCAGGGAGTCCCCCAGGGCCGAGTCCAGCCGCTCAGAGACGTCTTCCTCTGCCAGGGCCTTTGGGTGCCCGCCTAGGCCAAGGGAGCCCGGCTCAGGGGTCACCGCCTGCCCTCTGGCCTCCGTCTCCATGCTGCCCTGGGCCAGCAGGTCTCCTGCACCCCCTTGCAGCTGGCACAGCTGGTTCTCACTGAGCGACCCCAAGCCGCTGTCACACCACTCGTCCGCCACCGACTCCAGGCGCTTGGGCTCTCCAGGCCCACGGTGGGCAGCCTGCCCTTCCAAGGAGGCCATTGCTAGGCCAGGTCTTCACAGTGCCGCCCCAGGGAAGAGCCGGGCCATAGGGGGAGCCCCGCCAGAGCCCCCCAGTCCTCCTCCAATCTCAGAAGGCTCCTGCGACCGCTGCTGCTCCTGCTGCTGCTGCTGCCATGGACTAGGCGGGGGGGGGGATTTCAGAGACCTGGGGAATCCCCCAGCTAACGTCTGCGCGCAATCAGAAGAGCATGCCGGGAGTTGTAGTTCTTGCCCCCTCCCTCCGGGTGCCAGTGCATGCTGGGAGATGCAGTCCTGCCGCGTTGCCTTTTGGGTATTGTGCCGCTTGAGTGGATGGAGGGGCACTGTTGGGTCCCACGGCCGCAGAGCATCTCGGGGATTGTAGTTCCCAGATGTTAATGCCTGAAAACTCAGGTAGTAGTCCGCCGTGTTGGTCTGAAGCGACGGAACAAATTTAGAGTTCCGTGCCTTGCACACGAAAGCTCATACGTCGAATATGCCTTAAAATTCTGTTTTTGCAATGGGGAATTGTTTCTTGTCGATATACAATCCCACATTCCTGCATTTATTAATTTAGGCCATTTATTTATTTTACCTTTTTAATATATTCCTCTTGGACTTTATACCTTCATTCGGTCTTACCATTTCTCTGCTTATTTTGAGATATTATATCTTTTTTTATTTTGGTCGGTTGGGGGGGGCGGGGCGTAATAGAACACGACCACAAACCAGCAACGCAAGGCATGGCGGGAGTAACTCTGCGTTCCCCCGTATCTCTCTTTCTTGAGGCTGATTGGTTGGCTGGTGTCAGGTGATTTTCTTTCTTTTTTTTTTTTAAATCCTTCGCCCCCTTTGTTTTTTCCGCTGTCGTGAAGCATGCTGGGGGAGGAAGAAAGCGCCTGCGCCGCGGTGCCTCCTGGGTGTTGTAGTTTTCCTGTCAGAGCGCACTGTGGCTTCTGGCGTCTCCCTGACCTCATAGCCGGAGTCCGGCCAGGCGGGGGAGACTCCATGGACAACCGGGAGGGTAATTAGAGCTGAGTCGGGCTGGGGGGCGGCGGGGAAAAGAAAAAAAATAAAAAGGAGCGGGTCGTAAACTCGGGCCTAGACTGAGGCCTGGGCGCCTCACCCCCTTCCCCTCCCCTGTCTGCAGCGGTGAAGTAACCGCCTCCTTCTTTGTTTTGTCTTTTCCTGTCACAGACCCCGGAGCCGCCGCCAAGGTCGACGCCGGGAAGGGCTCGGGGTCGTCGGTGAGTTGCGGGGGGACCCCAATAGGCCTCGTCCATCCCCTCCCGCCTGCCTCTTCCATTTCTCCCTCTCTTTCTGGGGAGGACTCGGTGGTAGGAAGGGGGGGGGCGAGGCTCGATGGGACCCCCGAAAGAGGAAAGCCGCTTATTCGCGCGGCCCGTGGAACTCCCTGCCACAGGAGGAGGATAAGCAGGGCTCCCTCTAAGCGGTGGAGTCTTGTGAGCAACACTGCAACTCGTGAGCAACTGGCATTCAAGTGGAGAGCCCGAGCCCTTTGGCCCCTGCATCAATTCAGTTTGCTCTGGAGCCCCTCTAAGCTGTGAAGTCTTGTGAGCAAAACGTCTACTTCGTGAGCTACTGGCACTCAGGTTGAGTAGAGATGTAAAATTTCGGGGGAAACCGGAAATTTTCGGGAAAATGGGGGGAAATGCTACATCAGCACTTCCTTTTTTCTTTTCCACATCGAAAGTCATTCTGTTACTTTAGGAACATAAAATATGACTATGGGTATTTTTACTTGGCATGAAATGATCACAACTAGCCTATCAAAAATAGAGTGTATCCAAACAGTTATTACAAACAGAATACTCACCCACATGCAAAAACAAAACTGAAACCTTTTTCTTTTCTTGTGACAGTAGCACCTCCTAAAGGAAGAAATGCATCCTGTTCTTGCATTGGAGAGTTCAGTTTGGAACCTAGGACTTGCTTGTCCTTAGTGCACAGAAATTAGAATCATCTGATACATACATATTTTTTAGAAATGATTTGGAAAAGATTTGAACACCTTGTCTTAAAATATTTTATTCGTCATGTTAAAATAAAACGCTCCATAATCAATTTCTTTTCTTTTTCCAGTTTTTCGGAAAAAAACAAAAAAGGCTTCAGGAAAAAAACTTTCCCCCACCGCATTTTTCTGTTTTTTTCCCCAGGCCTTCACATCTTTAGTTGTGAGCGAGCGATTTGGCTGCTGCATCAATCAGTTTGCTCTGGAGCCCTCCCTTCCTGAGCCGAGACAAAAATGTGTGAGCCGGAGGCTGAAAAACTGTGAGCTGGCTCACGCTGACTCGGCTTAGAGGGAACACTGGTGGAGAGCGCTTTTCAAAACAAACTCATAGAGGAGGAGGAGATTGGATTTATACCCCGCCCGTCACTACCCGAAGGAGTCTCAGAGCAGCTCACAATCTCCTTTCCCTTCCCCTCCCCACAACAGACACCCCGTGAGGTAGGTGGGGCCGAGAAAGCTCTTGACAGAAACTGCTGTTTTCCAAGATGAGCTCTGCCAGGCCCTGGACTAAGGCCTGCACAAGGTCATCCAGCAGCTGCAAGTGGAGGAGTGGGGAATCAAACCCGGTTCTCCCAGATTAGAGTCGGCGCACTTAACCACTACACCAAACTGGCTCTTTCCGGGGAGGGTTCCCTAGTGTGAAATCCATGGCAGCAAAACTAAACAGGTGTCCAGCCGCACTGTAAACAGACTTTTGTTCCTGGCACGCTTTTGTTGTTCAGAGCTCGTTTCATCAGATGCCTAGGAGTGTAGATCCTTCCAACGCAGATGGATAGATCAGTGTTCCCTCTAAACTGAGTCAGTGTGAGCTAGCTCACAGTTTTTGAGCCTCCGGCTCATGCATTTTTGTCTTAGCTCAGGAGGGATGTCTCCAGAGCAAACTGATTTCTGCAGTAGCCGAATCGCTTGCTCACAACTTTAATGCCAGCAGCTCACAAAGTAGGATTTTTGTTCACAAGACTCCACAGTTTAGAGGGAGCATTGATAGAGATCCATGCATACAGAAAGGGGGTGTTACACAGAGAGGCCGGTTTAATCCCTAATCCAGAGAGTAATGGATCTGATTTTTTAGGCTATCTGGCCACAATGCTAAATGGAACTTCTGTATACTGGGGCAGTCTACCTCTGAATGCCAGTTGCTCAGAGGGGGGTGGGGGTGGCTCTGTTAGAGTTGCCAATCTCCAGGTGGCACCTGTAGATCACCTGCTCTTACAGTTGCTCTCCAAACGACCAAGATCAATTCCCCTGGAGGAAATGACTACTTTAGAGGGTGGGTTCTACTGCAGCAGTTCGAAAGCAAGAAATTGCAAGTAGATAAATAGGTACCACTTCGGTGGGGAAGGTAACAGCGTTCCGTGCGCCTTGGTGTTTAGTCATGCCGGCCACATGACCGCGGAAACGTCTTCGGACAGCGCTGACTCTTCGGCTTTGAAACGGAGATGAGCAACCTTTACCTCTACTGCAGTATGCCCTGTCGAGGCCCCTCCCCAAACCCTGCCCTCCCTGGGCTCCACCTCCAAAATCTCCAGGTGTTTCCCAACCTAAAGATGGCAACCCTAGTGCTTATGGGTTTTATGAGGCATCTGTTTGGCCACCGTGCAAGATGTTGGACTAAGACGGACTCTTCATCTGTAAGAGACCATAATTAACAAAAATCAAATAAAAATAAAATTTGGCCCAGGTTCTTTACAGTCTTAGAGGCAGATTGTTTCCCCTCTTTTGTGGGGAGAGTCTGGTGGAATGCATATGCTGCTTTGAATATGTTTCTGGACTCTACGTTGGTGTTTTGCCATTCAGAGGTAGACTGCTTCTGGAACTGAAATTTTTTTTTATCTTCTTTTTTTTTTCTTTTGGGGCCAAAGACCCATGCATCTACTCCTCTGGAATCTTTGTTATGATGTTGCATGCAAGAAAGGGAATTGCTGTGTTCCTTCCCTGCTTGTGGATTTTGCAAAGGCATCTGACCCCATTGGAAAGAGGATGGAGGTCTAATCTAGGAGGACTGCTCTGGGCGCATCTTGCAAAGAAAGCAGGGGTTGCTGGGTCTGGGTTGGAAAATACCTGGCGACTTTGAGGGTGGATCCGGGAGCGGGCGGGGTTTGGGGAGGGGCCTCAGCATGGTACAGTGCCATAGAGTCCACCCTTCAAAGCAGGCATTTTCTCCATGGATCTGATCTCTGTCAGCTGGAGATCAGTTGTAAAAGCGGGGGAGCTCCAGGCCCCACCTGGAGGCTGGCAACCCTAAAAGAGAGACCCACCCCCACCCCCAAGATATTCGTTGCCTGGAATTGTTGGTGGCGGAAAGTGTCCACAGAAGTCAAACACGCACACGCAAAAAGTCCCTCACCTGACGCACATTTTTGCCTGCTTGTGCATAGATATGCAAGCGCTGTGGCACATTGGCTGCCCTGAAGAAGAAAATGAACCGCCCTTCTTCCGCTTCTGAAAAGCTTTCCTGCCTGAACGCCTAAAGTCAGGTCTTACTCATTGCACGTGGGTGGCTATCTTCAAGCCTGATGTAACGTGCCACGGGGCTTTCCCCTGTGTTTTAGTACAACGGACTAACGGGGCTACCTTTCTGGGCAGACGGTCATCCGTTGCATAGTTGAGTCTGGTGGAATGCATATGCTGCTTTGAAGATGTTTCTAGACTCTACATTGGTGTTTTGCTATTCAGAGGTAGACTGCTTCTGGAACTGGAATCTTTTTTTATCTTCTTCTTTTTTTCTTTTTTGGCCAAAGACCCATGCATCTACTCCTCTTAAATCTTTGTTATGAGGTTGCATGCAAGAAAGGGAATTGCTGTGTTCCCTGCTTGTGGATTTTGCAAAGGCATCTGACCCCATTGGAAAGAGGCTAGAGGTCTAATCTAGGAGGACTGCTCTGGGCGCATCTTGCAAAGAAAGCAGGGGTTGCTGGGTCTGGGTTGGAAAATACCTGGCGACTTTGAGGGTGGATCCGGGAGCGGGCGGGGTTTGGGGAGGGGCCTCAGCATGGTACAGTGCCATAGAGTCCACCCTTCAAAGCAGGCATTTTCTCCATGTCAGCTGGAGATCAGTTGTAAAAGCGGGAGATCTCCAGGCCCCACCTGGAGGCTGGCAACCCTAAAAGAAAGACCCACCCCCACCCCCAAGATATTACGTTGCCTGGAATTGTTGGTGGCGGGAAGTGTGGTCAAATCACAGCCGACTTGTGGCGACCCCGCAGGGTTTTTAAGCCAAGAGACGTTCAGTGGTGGTTTGCCATTCCCTGCCTCTGCGCAGCAACCCTGGACTTCCTTGGTGGTCTCCCATCCCAGTACTAACCAGCGCTGACCCTCCTTAGCTTCGAAGACCTGTTGCAATTGGGCTAGCCAGGAATTGATAGTCTTTGTAAATAAGTCCACACAGGGCTTTCCCCTGTGTGCCCAGCAGGAACTCATTAGCATAATAGACCATACCCAACAGCAGGAACATTAGCATATTAGGCCACACCCTGACAGCACAGCTCATTCGCATATTAGGCCACACCCCCATGTTACCAGAAATGTGGTCATCCAGCCACACCTACCTTTTGCTTCTTATTCTCTTTACCTTGTTTGTTGTCAAAACCTAGGGCTTTTTGCATGTTAGGCCACACACCCCTAATTGTAGCCAATCCTAATGAGTTTCTGCTGTTGGGTGTGGCCTATTATGCTAATGAGTTCCTGCTGGGCGTGGCCAACTTGGGAGCCAGCCGGAACTCCGTTCCTGTGC